GCATAAATTGTGCTTTGAATCTTCCTTAAAAGTACTACCATTATCAGCAAAGTTCTTGTTAGTGGATTATATTATACGGTTCTTATTTGCCGATAGCACTAACGGTTTTCCTTAGACAGGTTGCATGTCATTACAGAACCCGAAGCTGTGGTGTCCATGAATTCGACATGTGTGCTCCATGTTCTGTGCCCGGCTATGCCGTAGACCCAGGCTTCTCTGTCCCTCCCCGAGCTCATGGCCATTCACGTTGCTGCAAAACTGCAGGTGGACAGCTGCAACCCACGTGCTGCCTCAGGGAGATGATAGCGCCACGGTGGTCCTTGATTTAGTCTCGCTCATTAGCTTGTGTGTCCCCCAGATAAGCCCAGCTCCCAGAAATGGTGCATAAACAGTTAAGGGCCAGCCGGTGGTGTGGTGTGTGGAGGCCGCTGGATCCCACGTGGCCAAGTTCACAGTTTGAGGCCTGGACCCTGTGATCAAAAATACACTGAGCATGTGTGTGTGTGTGTGTGTGTATGTGTGTGTGTGTGTGTGTGTGTGTGTGTGTGTGGCCAAAATCCCAAAACTTGATAAAGGAGACAAAGGAGGAGGGATTGTGGTGTGGCCTTCCTCCCAGGGTGCTTTCTCACTTTCTCTTTCTCTCTCCTCTGCACATGCCCTCTAGCAAATAAAAAAAAATGTAAAAAAGGCATACACAATACAGTTAAAGACATCTATAACAAAGACTTATATAGCATATCAGAAGATATATGCTACATTAATTCATAATTGTAGATTTGTAAATCTTACTCTATAGCTGTATGAGTTTAATGGAATTTATTGAAACCAGATTGTTAAATCAGTTACTCTGGGGTATCTTTAAGGCAGAGAAATAGCTTTGCTAAATAAATTTAATGATAAAATGATTCTTGACAGAATAGTATTTATCCAGAGTCAACACTGGACATGCAAGCATTTGTTACCACTGCTCTTCTGAAATTATAACTAAGATGGAAAGATTTAACTAGCGCTGGGAGATAAACACCCAGTTTAGCATAGAATGTAGCAAGTTGTCAAGGCAGGGATTTGGGAACAAAGGTTTTTTTTGAATAATTGTGTAATGAATACATTTTAGTTAAATCTATTTAGAAGTCTCAGAATTTCTGGGACCAGCAGTTAGCATAATGGCTATGTCACTGGACTCCCACGTAGTCAACCGTGGTTTGAGTCCCGGACCTGGCAGCTTAAACTCACGCTGGGCACATGTGCGTGCGTGCCCAAGATCCCCCGAGAGGAGAATGGAGGAGAAGGGATTATGGTGTGGCCATCCCTCATGGGGAGTGATTTCTTGCTTTCTGTTTCTGGTGAGTGCACGCCCCAATAACGAAAATTCCCCCTCGCCCCCCCCCAAAAAAGAGATAAACAGCTACTCCTTGGAGTATCTTCTTTTCTCTTGTAACCTGAAAGGCAGTTCCTGGGCAGTGTGTCACACTTATTAGGACAGTTTTGTTTTGTTTTGATTTCTGTTACTGTTCTTATATATAAACCTTCAGAGATGAACGCTAGCAGTTACAGCACACTGCATTTCCACTGACCACAAAGTATATCTACTAAGCCGGAATCTCCAGTCATGCCACTGCTCTGGAAACGCCTCGTTAGTACACTCATTGTTAGACTTTGGCAACAGTAGTCTGTGATGTTGGTATTTTATCTTAAACTTTTGACCTCATGACTCCACTGAACCGTAGTTTTCTTTCTACTTGATTTTTTTTGTGTCCCTCCCCCCCCCCCCCAAGGATTTTATTCTGTGCCCCCCCCCCAAGGATTCTACTGTGTGTAATGTAGAGCGGGTATGAGTTTTTATGTAGTCACATGGTAAGTATTTTGGGCTTTGTAATACATACAGACCTCAGGCCAGCAAGTGACATGGTGGTTAGAGGCACCTGGAACATACATGAGCGATGACACAGTTCAAGTCCTGGACCCAGTGGCCTGAGACTCACGCCTTGTGTGTGGGCATGTGTGCCCAAAATCCCAAGAGGAAAATGGAGGAGAAGGGATTGCAGCATGGCAGGGGGGACACTTTCTCACTTTCTCTCTGTATCTCTGTCTCTTCCTAGATGAGACATATATCCTATAACAAACTGGGGAAAAAAAATTAATTAAAAAACAAAAGACATGGGACCAGCAGGTGGCATAGTGGTTATGGCTCGGGACTGCCATATGGTCAGTGACAGTTTGAGTCCCAGACCCAGCAGCTTGAAAATCACTAGACATGTGTGCATCTGTGCCCAAAATCACAGGAGGATAATGGAGAAGGGATTGCAGCAGGGCCATCCCCCCTCAGAGAGGATTTCTCGATTTCCCTCTGAATGGCTTTCTCTGTTTCCCTCCAGTGAATGCACCCTATGGCTAAAACCTTTAAAAGGGGGGGAAAAAAGGGACATGCAAATCTCTGTCCCAGCTACTTGTCCCTGCCACTGTGGTGTGAATGCAGTCATTGGCCACACGTAAATGGATGGTTTGGGCTGTGTTTTAATAAATCTTTATTGTTTAATTTGCCAGAGGGCACATGCACGTGGAGAGAGACAGAGAGAAAAAAGTGGGGGTTAGTGAGAAAGCATCTCCATGGGGGATAGTCACACCGCAATCCCTTTTCTTCCCTCTCCCTTTTAAGATTTTGGGCTTGCGTCCACATTTCCCCGGGATATTTTTCAAGCCACTGGGCCTGGGGCTCAAACAGCATGAGCAGCCATGTGAGATCCAGCAACCTTAACCTTCACCTACCAGTTGACCAGTTGGCCCACCTTAAACCTTGATTTAAACTTTAAGCAAACAAACAAATAGAAAAACACAAATAGACTGGAACTAGCCTATGAGCCAATTTGCCAATTTCTTACTTTGAAAATCAAGTACTGCTATAAGGCATGTGTGTGCGTGTGTGTGTGTGTGTGTGTGTGTGTGTGTGCATGTGCGTGCGTGAGTGAATGTAGCAGTCCTCTGTAATTTGTTGCACTGTTCTGAACTTCAGCTCGTTCTTACAGAACATAGTTCATCGACATGTTTGTATTAGTCCCATACTGTCTTTTCCACTTAATTACTAGCTGTTGGCCTCCTGCTGTAATAGATAAGAGATTTAGACCTCTTTTCTCCACTCTCAGTCATAAATGTACCTTCCTTATCCCTCCACCTCATGTTTATGGGTCAGATTTAGATGAGATAAACGTGTAGTAATTCGGAGTCGGGTAGTGAATGTAATGTTTACTTTCCTGCGTGATACTTGTTTGCTGTAGTTTATAATTGTTGCATTTGTTTTCGCCATACCCTAGTGTAGCACCAGACTCCTCATCGTCAACAGACCACGTAATCCTTCTTTCTTCTTTGCAAGTTGCTGACAACATGTTTATACTTCTCAGAGAGAACGAGGTTGGGAGGAGAGTGAGAAAGCACCCCCATTGGGAATGGTTAGCTTGCAGTCTCTTCTCCACTGCCCCCTCGTGTCAGGATTTCAGACAGGAGCACACACACGCCCCGTATGTATGTCCAGGACTCAAACTGCTCCATCGGCCACGAGGGATCCGGCTGCCCTAACCACCACACCACAGACTGATCCCACACCACGCATTCTAAACCTTTTGCCTCTGCTGCCTCGTCCTGGAGAATGCCTATGCCCTGTGTCTTCTGTTTCTTGTGCCCCAAGCCTGTCTCATTCTTGGTATCCCTTATTTTCGTGGAGCCAGTGTTTTCTTGGGCATGAAGACACCAGGGATCCATAAACCTTTTTTTAAAAACCTTACATGTCAAACTGTTTTTCTTTTTCCTTAGGTTGGAAATCATTTTCCTTCAGAATTTTTGGAGCATTAGCTACTCTGTTATAATGCTGTCAAATCTGAAATTCCTTCTCTTTATTTTCCACTTTTGTTCTTAAAAGCTTTGAAGTTCCACTATTCTGATGTAACTCTATTTTCATATATTTTTTTGAATATTTTTAGTCTGAAAAATCGTGTTCTTTATTGGAGTTTCTGTGCTCTAGCTTTATGCTTTCCGTAAAACTCATGCCAGTATGTTTGACCCACGCCTTCAGCAGGCAACTTGTCAGTGCATGGCTGGAGATGCCAGCAGTCCACTCCCTCCCTACATGCTCTGAATCTCTGAGGTAGATGAAATGGATCAGCAAATATGTATTGCATCAGGAAACTCAGCGATTTAACATTATACTTTGTGATCTACAAGTAAATGACGTTTCTTAGAGAAGGCCAGATAAGTCTAAAAGTCAGATTCCAGGTGTATTCATTTCCTAAGGTTCCTCTAACAGATTACCATGAGAGGTTTACATCTGCAGTCACTCTCAGAGTTCAGGAGCCTAGAAGTCTGCAGTTAAGGTGTCAGTAGGGCCTTGCTTCCTCAGAACACTCCAGAAGATAATTTTTCCTTGCCTTTCCACTCCTTGGCTTAAGATAGGATAATGCCAGTCTTTGCCTCAGCCTTCTTATCGTAGTCATCTTCCTTCCATGTATCCAGGGAGAAAGGACTTGGGATGGAATGGGCTAAGTGAGTTTAAAGAACAGATGGGAAACAGCATGATCTGAGCACTGTGGCTCCTCTGAGCAGGGTTGCAGGAGAGCGAGATGCAGAGGAGAGTGGCCAGGTACGGGCTTCCTGCAGTGGTCCATGAGAGCAGAAGTGCTGACTGGAGCCAGGCATCATTGGGTCCATATCGTATATGGCACCTAGCCCAGTTCTCTCACGTGGTCCCACCCAGCCCAGTTCTGAAAATAGTAGGTATCCAAAGAATATTTATTGATGAATGACTTGAAAATTTTAGTTGTTCCAACGCAGTTAGTATTTTTGTCAACAAGATCTTTATCTTTAACATAGCTTATACACATAATTTATCTATTGAGAATACTAACAAAATCTGTTCCCTAATTCTAATTTTTAAAAACTAATACATTATATTTTATTCTCTCCTAATGGTGCTAAGTTATTTTTATTCCCGTGTTTATTTTTTCAATTTTCAGCCAGATTCTACCGCAGCTGAAAGAGCAATCGCCAGACTAGCCACACATCCTCGTCTAAAGAAAAAAACAGATGCACTAAAAGGTGTGAGTCAAATGGTTTTCTATGAGGGTCTTCAAAAAGGTCACCAAAAATGCATATTATGAAAACCTGCATGGATTTAAAAATGTATTTGCACCAAAACAAATCCACACTTTAACTCCATTTGCCATGAATTTATTGATTGAAATGATAAATGTAGGTTTCTTTGAAATGTGAGGAGGTGCCTGAAAATATGGAAGGTGTCTGATACCTGCACTCCATAGCCTGGGGATTAAGGGAGCCAGATCCCACAGAGCTGATCACAGGGTTTAAATCTCAGTCCTGACAGTTTGAAAAACACGCTGGTGCCTGTGCCCGAAACCCTGACATCTTGGAGAAGTGGAGGAGACGGGGTCGTAGCGTGACCACACCTCTGGGGGAGGAGGGACTTTCTCACTCTCCTTTTTATCTTTCTCTCTGGTAAGCACATACATTCTCTGGCAATTTTTTTTTTAAAAAAGTGATGACTGGGACCAACAGATGGCATAATGGCTACATCGTTGGACTGCCATGTAGTCAACAGTGGTTTAAGGCCTGGACCCTGTGGCTTAAACTCATGCTGTCACGTGTGCATACATGCCCAAGATCCTGAAAGGAGAATGGAGGAGAAGGGATTGTGGCATGGCCATCCCCTTGGGGGATTTCACTTTCTCTCTCTCTTTCTGGCAAGTGTATGTGCCCTATAGCAAAAAAAAAAAAAACTCAAAAAATAACTAAATAAAAAGTGATGGCTAAAGAAAATGTAATTTTTCCCTCTAAATATATTAATGGATGTCGCATATAATATGTATTTTATACACACTACAAACACAATGAAGCTGAGCACAACTCATTTTTAAAATATTGGTATACTTTGATTTTGACACATAGTCACATAATTTTCACTTATGCATGCGTATCATAAAATATATTTACAAAATTCAATGCTTTTTAGGCCAGTCCCATAGTCCGATGGTTAAGGGAGCCAGATCCAACATGGCCAACTCTGGTTTGAATCCCAGCCCGGAGGCTTGGAAAACATACCTGGCACGTGCGTGTGCCTGCCCCACATCCCAACAGGAGAAGAAATGGAGAAGAAGAGACTATACCCCAATGGAGGGCACTTTCTCCCTCTCACTCTTCCTGTCTCCCTTTTTCTCTGGCAAGCATCCATGCCCTCTGGCAATTAAAAAATAATAAAATGAAAAAACAAAAAAATACAGAACTAAATATTTTTGTTCACAGATTAGATATTTCCTTTTATGTCTGAAAGCACATTTATAATATTCGGTGCATTATTACTACAGAAATAAAAATCCCCATTTTACATATTTATATTCTGACATCTTTAATGTTCTTCATAACTCCAGTACATGAAGAAAGAATAATTTTTTAAAATTTGTTTGTTTCATAGCTGCCGTCCAAGCCTTTAAAGATGCAAGGCAGAATGCTCCTGAAGTCGAGTCATTAAAGAATACTTCAGAAGAAAATCGTCCTAAGGCTGCTTTGTGTTCAAGTGATGGAGCAAGTAAATCCCAGCATGAAGGAGCTGTTGTCAGTGACCACAAAGTGAAAGAAGTCAAAGTACCGGCAAAGAAACCAATAAACAGTCCAAAAGAAAAAGTGGCCAAGATGGCACGTGACCCCCATTCACCATCAGAGTCTTCAGAAAAGGATTCTGTAGTGCCCCCTGAACCCCAAAAGACACCTGAAACACCTTCTAACACCAACATGAAAACATCAAGTCAGACCAAAAAAAAGGAGTCTGGTAGCTCGTTTGACGATAACAGTGACAGTGAAGAAGAAGCACATGAAGAGAAGGAGTATTTTGATGATAGCACAGAAGAAAGGTTTTACAAGCAGTCTTCCATGTCTGAGGACAGTGACAGTGGCGATGACTTCTTCATTGGAAAAGTCAGACGGACACGAAAGAAGGAAAGTAGTGACCATTCTGCAGCTAAGGAACAAAAAGCCCTCCAGAAAGTGTTACCCAAAGAAGAGACACACGGAGCCCTTTGGGATACAAGAAATGACAAAAGCAAGTCAACAGAAGCCAGGAAGTTAGAATCAGTGTTTTTCCACTCCTTAGCTGGGTCTAAAAGCTCTAGAAGGTATGAATATTTTCCTATTATGAAATAATTATTAGCCCTTAGGGGATTTTTTTTTTTTGAAGATAGAAAATTCCTGCATATCCTAAAAATGAGAAAAAAATAATCCTATTTTTGTGCAACTTGTTTATTTTTAGGCTTGAGCCTCTCCAACTTTATAGTTTCCACTATATACAAATATTACTGATCATCTCCCAAACTTGCCGTTACAAAGCCACACTTTTCCTCATTTGCAAATAAGATCCTGGAGGGGCTAGCAGTGGCATAGTGGTTAAGACGCTGCACTCCCATGTAGTCAACCACTACAGTCGACCCGGCAGCTTTAAACTTACACCTGGTGCCTGTGCGTGCACACTCAAAATTCCAAGAGGAAAGAATGGAGAAGAGATTGCAGTGTGGCCATCCTCCCATGGGGGCGGTTTCTCACTTCTATCTCTGTCTCTCTTGTGAGTACATGCACCCTGTAGCAAAAATCGCTCTTAAAAAAAAATAAAAAAGAGAAAGAAAGAAAATAACATACTGGTATTCCTTCCCCTCTTCACAAAATATAAATCTTCATTTTTGTTACACGCAACTCATTCTTCATGAAAAGACTTTTGAACTATTTTTTTATCCTGATGGTTTCCAAGTGTAGAGATAAGATAACCCATATTTCATTTGAGAGCAGAAGCTCTGGGGCTAGCAAATGGCACAATGGTTACATCGCTGGGCTCCCATGTAGTTGCCCGTGGCTTGAGTCCTGAACCCAGCAGCTTAAAACTCATAACAGGCACATACACGTGCATGCATACCCAAAATCCCGAGAGGAGAATGAAGGAAAAGAGATTACAGTGTTGCTGTCCCCCTGGGGGGCAATTTCTTAATTTCTGTCTCCAGTGAACACATAAGCCCTATAGCAAAAAAATCTCTCTCTCAAAAAAAAGAGAGGAGTCCTTCTAAGATTGGTGAGAGGAAGACTCCTTTGTGTCTATAGAAATACTGGAGTTTAACAAGCCTTTGGTGTGTTTGAAACATGCCTATTGCTGGTGGGATGAGGGAGCATGAGTTTTATTATCCTTTAATTATGTTTTCTTCTTAAGATCAGGAGGTTTATTTATACATTAAAATCATAATGGTGTTTTTCTTCTTTTAGAGATCACAGAGAACAAGCTCCAAAAAACAAAGCTCTGGGTATGTATGAAGGACTGTCTGACCTCCACATGCAGCTGAGCATTGCTTTTCTAAAGTGGAAGGGGGGGGGAACCAGCAGTTAGCGTAATGGCTATGTCACTGGACTCCCACGTAGTCGACCGCGGTTCGTGTCCCGGACCCGGTGGCTTAAAACTCACGCCGGGCGCATGTGCGTGCGTGCCCAAGATCCCGAGAGGAGAATGGAGGAGAAGGGATTGCGGCGTGACCATCCCCCCTGGGGGGTGATTTCTCGCTTTCTGTCTCTATGTCTCTCTCTGTCTGTCTGGCGAGCACACGCGCCCTACAATGAAAATCTCTCAAAAAAAAAAAAAAAAAAAAGTAAAGTGGAAGGGGGCACAATTTATGTATCTATGCATTTGTTGTGATTTTCAAGCCCTAGGTTCAGGACTCGAATCAGGGTCAGCCATGTAGGAATCCAGCACCTCAACCCCAAAATTATGGTTACTTAGTAGACTGAATGGGTTATATGCCACAGACATAGAAACTGCAGAATTACTTGTTTTGTTTTGGTTTTGGTTTTATTTTCGTCCTGCTAGTGGAAAGATAGATACAGAGTTTATCAGGAAAAATGAACATTTCTTAAGTCACCTTGAATGAACACATTCTTTAAGTAAATTACTGTACATCTTAATCATTCAGTATTATGCCCCTAACCATTCAGTAACAAGTATGTGATTTTGTGGATTAAGGGTAAAGTCAGTATTCATGTTAATTTATATTAAATCACAATTCATTCTATTTGAGTTGGCTGACTTCTTACAGTCCCAGACTTTCACTTGCTTCCATATAATAAAAATGTATGCAATTTGCACATAGAAGGGAATCCAGTACATGGAGAATTGTATAGGTTTTTATGAGCCAGGCCCCAAAAGGATAGAAATCCGTTCTACTCACATTGCCTAGAATTCAGTCCCATGACCCCATCTAGCCATGACGAAGCTACAAAATGCATGTATCTTGTAGGAGGGTGAGTGAATTTCCTTGAACATCTCATTTTGCCATGGCCTCTTTTGATCACCAGATGCCTGTTTCACACTCCCCCACACGTAGAGCACACAGCTCTTCCCAGGGAAACCAGCCCTGAGTTGCATCCAGTCACTGCACCCCACTCGGAGTCCAGGATCGCCAGGTGCCGACGCAGTGCTCTCCAGAGGACTGTGGGAGTGGCTCCTCAACCTTACATGACCTTCATACTAAAAATAAGCTGTCCGGGCCAGCAGATGGCGTGGTGGTTAAGGCACTGGACTCCCACATGACTGGCTGCAATTCAGGGCCCAGGATTGTGGCTTGAAAATCACTCCAGGCACGTTAGTGTGTCACATACGCCCTAAGTCCCAGGAGGAGAGTGGAGGAGGGATTACAGCATGGCCCTCCCCTGGAGGGTGATTTCTCACTTCTCCTTTCACTGTCTCTGTGTCTCTGTCCTGTGGCAAAAACAAACAAACAAAAAAACTAAAGTAGCTGTCTGCCTCAGTGCAGAGCAGTGACAGAGTGCCCACAGTAAGAACTCTCGGTCATTATTAAGGGAACATTGGAAAGTACACGACTGGCCTCACACCTGAAGTTCTGCTGAGCAAAGAGGAGAGCACTGAGAGGAACTTCTTACCCAAGGTTCTCCGTGGTCCTGACTGACTTCTTAGGAAGGTCTTGTTCCATGGTCACATCTGAAGTGGGGATTTAACATTTGGTGTTTATCCCAAGTTACCAGTACACATACCTGGTCTGGAAGATTGTGGTCCAGCAGTCAGAGAGTTTATTCCAGCCCAGGCTTGTGATTTCTGTCTCTGTATACTTTGTCCAAAACTTAGTTGATTTCTGATCTCCCTCTTTCCATAGATGTATCTGTTAGCTTACAGCCACAATGAAAATTCTTACCGGTTTGGATGGGAAGACCTACCTTTAATCTTACTTCTAGTCTAGGGCTGAGTCTCTTTGAGTCTTTGTTGTTTAAAACCTCTCTCAGACTTACAGCTTAGTGTTCGGGGGCCAAAGCCTTTTCTGTGCTGAAGTTCTGAATTTCTAGATTCTTCCCTTCAAACAGTGAAATACTCCTTTCCTGAGCTCTTCTGTTTTCCTCGAGTGCATTATCAAAGACCGCAGCTGTCTCCTGATCTGTTTATTCTGTCCAGCGCCTTCCTCTGGTGCTGGAAACTCCATAGGCCTGGGCCTGCTACCAGGTTATCACTGACAGTGATTATTTTACCTGGTTCTTTAGCAGGCAGATCACCCCCCCATCTCGGTTTTCCATGTGCTTACCACCTATCTCCTAAATGGTAAGCCAGTGCCAGTTGATTGGCTGTGTGCCTCTTCAAAGTACCTACTACAGTGTTAGCTTTGTTGGCTTCCTGCCATACCATAACTGCCTGACCTTAGCGGTCTCTCAACCATCTCTCTGCTCCTTGTGACCCCAGCCATTACATGCCTCTGGCCTCCTAGATCCCAGGAGTTCTCTGCTTTTCACTGAGGACAAATAATGGGGCCAGCAGATGGTGTGGTGGTTGGGGCACTGGATCCCCACATGGCCAGCTGCAGTTCAAGTCTCTGACCTAACACCTTGCTTTTTCACTTTCTCTCTCCCTTTCTCTCTCTCTGGTGAGCATGTATGTCTTACAGCAAATTAAAACATAAAAATTATGAATAACATTAAATGAAAAATTCTTTTAAAAAAGAGAGAAATAATGGAGGATCGGGTGTGGTGGTGCCTGCCCTATGGCAAAAAACAATGGAGGCTGGAGGATCGCAACACGGAGTCCATCTCTCTCTCTCTCTCTCTCTCTCTCTCTCCCAATATGTACAACTTTTTTTTTTTAATAAAAAAGAAATATGGAGGGTTGATTGAGATTTTTGTGGTCTAGGCATTTTGCTCACATTTCATTGACCCTAACTCAGTTTTGTAACTTTACCTAACTGCA